AGACACAATTTTACCAGGAAAAAATGTCTTAAAATTAGACGAGAAATAAATGGTTTCAATGAGGAAAAAAAAGATTAGTGGATCTGATATGACCGGCTCAGTGGATCTGATATGACCGGCTCAGGTCGTGTGAAATACACACAGCTGTTTGGAGGACCGTTTCAAAATCCTGCTACTGATAATAATTTGATGCTGATGTATGTAATTATATATAAAACTTAGTTGCTCAATATTCCTCATTTGAACATCTTGCATTGGATTTCTCATAACATAATTACTTCATTCTCCTAATATTATGACTTAATTCTCATATTAAAAAAAAAAACGTCTTGGCCAGACCCAATACTTTATCTGATGGCCTGATATACGCTTGTCAAACAAGATGGCGGCCCTGGCCGTGCTGACATCACCCTGAATGATGAAAATCCAACGAATGCGTTGGTGGGGGGGGGGAAAAGAAAAATCCAGATTTCCCAAAAATTAACTCTTCAAAAACCAAAACTTTATCATCCAGCTCTAGTATAAAACCCATAAAACCCCCTAATGGATGGATGCAAGTTTTAAACAGCAGATCTGGGTTTTATTACTGTATTTTTTCCCGTCCCAATCCAGACCTAGGAAACATTTCAAACTTTTCCAGGCTGCGTTAGAACCCTGCCAAAACCCTGCTTTGCTCCTGCTCACCTTTCTAGCCAGGTGTTTGAAATCCTCCGTGTTGCTGATGCGTCCGGATTTGCAGTCCGGCTTCCGGTACGGATTCAGGCATTGCACAATGAACTGGGACATCTGGTCAACAACACAAAAGGAACATAAGAACATCCGACGGAACCTCTGTAGAGGTAATGACGAGAACTGGACTCACCTCTTTGCGAAACGTCTCTTTGCTTTTTTTAGCCAATTCACTGGACGTGTCTGCTTCGGCCGTCTTTGTGGAGAACTGCGACAATCACAATCAGGGAGGTTGGTGAAGTAACAAAACTGGAGTTTCTTTTGTCACATTTCATTGCTAGAAGATATTTTCTGTGTTTGATGAGCCAAACCAAACAGCCGTTTAGCGCCGTTTATAATTCAAGGTTCTTCCATCAGCTATATCCTTTCACACTGAACCATCCTGTGGCTCCAGCCTTTAAAAACAATAACTTATTGAAATCAGTCTGAACAAAACGCAATCTACCAGGAGGAGATTGAAACGGGTTCAATCCACAGTAGATCCTGTTTATATCTTATAAACAAGAGTCACTGATGAAGCTTAGCTCTTACAGGAGCCATGCTTTATTTACAGAATCAGCAAAATAAAATAAAAAATCAAAGGAGATAAACAGCGAGACAAAAGAATAAATAGAAAGATGGACGGACGATTAAGGAAAGAGACAGAGAGAATAAATCCAAAAATGAAGACATCACATTTTCCCCACATGGGTTCAGATCCAAAAACATATTTAAATTAATTTCGAGACTGCGTGGGAGCCCTGGCAGCCTTCGAGTCCTGAATCTGCAACGACTGTATCATGAGACGCCGTTTACGTTTTCGTTATGCTCCGCTGTTTTCCCTCAATTTCTTACTGTGCCATTTCAGATGAGACAAAAAGGACACAGCGGCAGCGTGCTTCCTCCAAACCATAAAGGAAGAGGCCGCAAATAAATGAGAGCGAGACTTTCCAGATGGTTTCCACTACTGCCGGAGACGGGATGAAAACAAAGAGGGAAAACAAACGGTGTAGCAGAAGAGGAGATAAGCTCGGCCGCCCCCACCCCCTCTCTTCCCCGGTCGACCTTCGGGCTAAGTGGGGGGTGGAGTGAGTGGGAACACTTGGAATTTTGGTGTTGGTTCTGATGTGAGGGGAATCTCATCAGCAAGTTTATAACAGTCAACTGGGAATGATGTGGTGCAGAAGGATTCCCGCCCCCACCCCGCCTCTTCCTGGAGAGAAACAGCTGAAAGTAATCATTGGTGCTGCATCTTTAATCACAAACACTATAATAACGCTCTGCGGCACTTGCGCAGAAAGTTCCTGGGACCCAAAAGGAAAAGCGAAGCGGCGGCGTCACGGGAAACACGGCGGGTTTTCCGTTTTACTCCGACGCTCAACGAAATACCTTAGAGGGGTTCTCGTCGTAGGTCGGTGTTCCCAGGTCCATCTCAGATTCATGGTCCACGCTTGTGTTGTCGCTGCTGCCTTCCCAGGTGGGGGGGTCCCACTGCGTTTGCCTGGAGGCAAAGTGACATCGAGATCAAGACATGTGATGGGACACACACACACACACACACACACACACACACACACACACACACACACACTGCTACACCTACCTTGTGACAACGTGGTAGTAGTAGATCTTGCCTTCAGGGTCCCGGGCTGCTTTCCAGTTGGGAGGTAGGACGATCGTTTTGGGTTTCGGGGGAGAAGGGGGAGGCAGGTCTATCACATTGTTGGGTACAATCATCTCCTGGTGAACAGAAAAAAAAAAAAATACACGTGAGGAGGAAAATCTCGTTAAAGGCTCAATAAATGGATGCGGTTTCAATTTAAAGATACAGGAAGTGGGACAATTTTTGCCTGCATCTAATAATGAACTAAAAAGAACAGCTTTGTTCTTTCTAATATATATATATATATATATATACACACATATATATGTAAAGATCAACCCATCGGTTTAGTGGGATTTCTATGTAAGGTTCAGAACGTGAGAATGTTTCTCATATGGACAAGATTTAAAACCTTATTTACATTGTTGAGGGTCTTTCAACCTGCAGGCATTGACAAGCAAATGGCTGCCTAGAGGTGGTCTGGTGGTCTCTCCTCGTTTTTACAAAGCAGACAACTGTTTTCATTCTTTTCTCCTCACACAGCTCTTTGTCTTTCTCCTTCTTCTGTTTACTGAAATGCCATGACAACAGCCGAATCGGAATAACGTTTTATTTAAACAACTAAATGACCGGGGGTCAGATCTCGGCCACAGATCTGGTCTCACAGCTGTATTTCTAACAATAATATTCCAAAGTGTTTTTATTTTTTTTTTATTATTTGTTTGTAATTAATGTCAAGCACAGTTTAATAATACACCGTAGCCAAAGGAAACATGAAAAATATACAGCAGATATTAGAATAATTCAAACGAAATAAAAAGCTGAGTATTCGCATGATCTATTTGAAAAGGAAAGCTTGGGTATATACTGCCCCCATGTGGTTATACTAGATATTGGACTTTTAGATATTTACTACCGAAATCAATTTAATTCAAAGAAATAAGTAATTTGTTTTACTTTTACACTTGAGAATGAAACATTAATTTATTTATTACATTCATTCTATGGGAATGAAACAAACAAAAGGACACATTTGGTAATAATTTTTAGATTAAATGGGTCATGAAGTAAGTTGGCCTAAAATATAAACACTTGCTCTTAAAAGCTACAATTATCTTCAAATGGTCTTATTATCACGGCATAACACACTGAAAGTATGAAAAATGTAAATTTCTTAAGAAAAAGAATGTGAATGTTTAGTTTTGTAATAAAACTTGCCAAGCCTGGCGGTAGCGTCTACAAATTCAAAACTAAGCAGAGTTGTCGTGGTTACCTGCTGCACAGTTTGGGATGTGACGATGGTGGTGACTGTGCCTCCCTGCTGCACCACCACGCCCTGCTGATGACCCGGATACACCGGCTGGCCGTGCAGGTAGCCGGCTGTGGGCTCAGTGTACGCCTGGAAACACACAGCAGGACTGACTCGGCTGACACTCGCGACGTATTAAACGAGGCGGACTGAGCTGGTGCATTCGACCAAAACTGAAACAGAGCTGTGACGTGCGACATATTCAGGGCTTGAAACGATTATTCAAATTAACTGTGAGGAATTGATCGTTGAGAAGCTTCACCTGGTTCCAATTGTGCAAAATAAAATCTCCCAAGTAACTTTTGCTTTCCAATTAGTTGGTTAATCTAAAAACATTATTCAACGGATTAGGCTGAGTGTCTCGATGCCAAGTCAAGCGCAAAGGGGTTAAAAAGCTGTTAACATGTTGATGTTAGAAGTTTGTTCTATCAGCAGAATGCGTCATTTCCTAATGATCAAGTGTTCAGTAAATGAATGTTGTCCTGTTGCATTTTAGACAATAAAATGTTTATTAATTGAAAAAGGAATTGAATCGTTTACTTATTTTTAGTTTTTCTGATATCGTATAAATAGGCTGAAGTCGTTCAATAAAAATGTGCAAAATGTGCCAATTTTTTTTATCCAATTAAACCTCAGAATGGTAAACTAAAATGATTGTTAGTTAAATAAATATATTAGCATCTCAACAAACAAAACGATTACAAAACTAAGCTAACAAGCTTAGAATATTTAGAAAATATCTAGAAAAAAAAAAAAAACACCTTGTAACACATCTGTTGCAGATTTACACATTTTAGAATAAGAAAATATGACTTCATTAAGGCAAATCAGAAAATCTCAGTGACGTCCTGATCAGAACAGGCTCGGCGTTGGGAGCCGTACCTGTATGACCGGAGCGTTGGCCTGAGGGTAGGCGGTGGGGATGCTGTAGATGGTCTGACACGGCTGGCCCTGGTAATAGATGGCCGTCTGCGTCTGCGGCGGCCCCGGAGCCGCAGCGTACTGCTGTGCCGGCTGCGTCTGCACCGTCACCGCCTGCTGGGTGGCGGGGTCCCACAGAGTGGCGTAGCTCTGCTGACCCTGCGCCTGAGGGGCCTGGGGCGCCGGCACCGAAAGCACGGCCACCCCTCCCTCCTGGGCTGCCACGGCTGGCTGCGTGTACTGCTGTGGGTTCGCTGCGGTGAGGCTGGTGGTGGTGATGTGCTGGGAGACGTTGGAGACCGGAGCGGCCTGGGATGTGGAGGACGGAGAGGGGAGGCTGAGGTCTGAGGCAGGGGTCTGTTCGTAGCTGAGGCCCGGGTCAACGGCAGGGGTGGGCAGGAGGACTTTGCCAGCATTGGGGTTGGTGGGATCCACGAAGGTCTGCATGGGATACCCGGGGGGGTAGGTGATGAAGCCGGGGCTGGAGGCATAGACTAGAGGGTCATAAGTCAGAGTCTGGAGCTGCTGCTGCTGTTGTTGCTGCTGCTGCTGTTGTTGAAGTTGCTGTTGCTTCTGAGCTTCCTGCTGAGCAACTTCCTGTTCAAACAGCTTCCTGCGCTCCTCTGTGGACAGTTTGTTGCGCTCCTTTCCTCCAGCTCCTCTCTGTGTCTTGCTGCTTGGCGTGTCAAACCTTAAAAATTTGAGGAAAACAGACCGTGTTTTTCTCTAGAAGATGCTGTAAAGGTGCGTCTCAATAAAACAGTTATTTTATGTAAAGTGGAACGTCTACAGTAAAGAAACTTATTACACACAAAGTGATATAGTTCAAGCAATTATTTCTTGAAGTCTTGATGACTCGCATCTAATGAAAACCCCACATTCTGTCTCTCATACTTCAGAGTATTGCCAAGTATTAATTGAGGAAGATCTTTAATCTTTTTAGCAGAACACTGCTAAGTCACCAGCCCGTTGAGGACAAAATGAAAATTAATTTGACAGCTATTGTCTCTGGTTATAGTGTAGGTGTTGTGCTATATTGTGAAATGCACGTTATTTTATAATAAATAGGAAGGTAGACTTCACTTCCAAATTCAAAATAATTAAAAAAAGAAAAATGTGCACAATGCTTTACCGCTCTTCATTGCGCCGGCTGCTCCTCTCATACGGCAAGGGGGGCGGAGACGGCGAGCGTCTTCTCCGTCGCTCAGAGTTGCGAGGGGTTTTGTCTGCGGTTCGGTCCCTGTCCCGATCCCGATCTCGATCTCGATCTCGGTCTCGGCTCCGCTCTCGGTCCCGGTCTTGATCCCTGTCTCTGTCTCGGTCTCTGTCGTAGTCTCTCTCTCTGTCGCGCTCCCTTTCCTTCTCTCGCTCCCTCTCCCGTTCTCGACTGCCAGAGGCGGCGCGTGGCGTCAAAGCCAAGTCACGATCACGGCTGCGATCTGCAAGGAAATTTTTATATATTAAATCAAACTCAAAAATTCAGTGCCAACAAACCAGAAACGTATTGCAACGTCTCCTACCTCTTGCTTCCTTTTCCACTTGGGTCTTCTTCGGTATCCTGTAGACCTCCTGAACAGACAAGTTCATTTGAGCTCTCGGGACGCAACATTTAAAACATTTACACCAAGTTGACAGGCTTGATTTCACTGACCTTCAGGTCCTTCCAGCTCTCCAGAAGTCTGGCTGCCATGCCACTGATGTCCAAAACACTGAGGTGGGGCTCCTGACTCCTCTCGCTCTCCACGTCCGACACGCCTTCCTCTTCGTCCTGAGACGGCGTTCCTATCACCGACGGTTCCACTTGTGCTGCCGTCCCCTCGGCGGGGACAGGAGCCTCTGGGGTCTCGGAGTTCGGTGGAGCTTCTGCGGCAGGTTCGCCGAGCTGGGGCTCGGTGCTCGCCTCCTCCTCGTCCTCCGGCTCCTTTCGCGTCTCCTTCGTCTCTGGCGGCTGTTCGGTTGGAACATCTGCAGGAACCGTTTGGTTGGACTGGCTCTCTGGCTCCTCCACTTTAACAGAGGACAGGTCTCCTTCTGACTCCACCTTTTCTGGCACTTTTTCGCCTTCTGGGTTTTCTGCACTCGCCTGCGCCTCCTCGCATGGCACGTTTGGAGTCTCAGCTTCATTTGTCGGACCCTCGTTTGTCTCCTTAATCTTCGAATCCGACTCGGCTTCATCTTTCATGTCCACATCCTGGGGCTGCTGCTGCTGCTGCTGCTGCTGACTGCTTGAGCTCGTTTCCGACTTGTCCTGTCTTGGCAGCTCTTTCCCAAACCCCTCCACGGATTCTTTTGTC